GGCTTCCTCCTCTTCGGCGGAGAGCTCCTCGGGCGACTCGCCCTCAAGAGGAACAGCGTTAAGCTTCTTGATGATGGAAATCCACGTTTCGATCTTGCCGTTGATCTTCGCATCCGCCAAGTACTTCTTGATGTGGACGGTGCCTACGATTTTGCGTGGATCCACCTTCTTGTCTTTGACACTGCTCGACGTGGCTAGCATAATCGAGTCCACGTCCTTTGGAGTCAAAGCCACGAACGGCGTGCTGGACTTGGTGGTCTTACGAACCATTTTTTTTTTTTTTTGCAAAATGGTTCGTAACACCACCAAGTCCAGCACGCCGTTCGTCCGTAAGTTTTCAACTGTTAATGCATGACTCGCACGATTTCAGGCATATACAGCAGAGACTTCGCTTCCATGCTCTGTTTCTGGCTATCTACTTGTATTAATTCGAAATGGATGCTATATTGAAGTCGTGGTTTACGGTGGTGTGGCTGGGAGATTTGTCAAACACAATCACTACTCTATCAGATGCTAAATTGATATCATTCGATTTGGGAACGAGGTCATTGTGCTGATTATGCACTTGTGCTTTGGTACGAAGCAAACGTGATTCATGCCTCTTGCTTGACTCAGAGCTTCCGAGAAATATCCAGCAAAAAAAATCCACAATTTTATTATGAATTCTAATATAGTGAATGGACATCGGTAATTGTTAACAGTAGTTACCTGCGCTGTCGCTTTAGTACGGGTATATATTTTCAACAGCTCACTTTTTTTTTTAACCATAATGTCTTAACTGGTTACTTCTGATGTTTTGAGCTAGTCACCCAACAAAAAATCTATTTTGATTACGAGCAGGATAGACCTTTAGTCAAGTACCGTAAACTTCCTCGTTTATAATTTATCTATCCACAGAAAAGTATGCTCAACTTATATTGCTCTCCACTGTAAATGGTCGTTCGACAGTGTTGTATGTCACTTCGCAATTTGCTCCTTACGTTGAAACTCCACATCATGCGTTTCACTTGCTTCTTTGTCGTGGTGGCGGCTTTTCTCCTAGCAACTACAAGCGCGGAGCAGAACGATCGTGCGGCAAAGGAACAGTCGGCCACGATGACACCAGATGGGACAATTCGGCGCTCAGTGTCCAAGCGTGCTCCCTTCGACCCCAGATATCCGGACAAGTCGCTATAGCTGGACATGAACTTGAATGTGGCACAGCCTCGATGGTGAACTTGAAATCCGCTCTGCAACGATGGATTAAAAAAAACTTAGTAGTAGTGGTGTCTATTGAGATCATTCTAGCTCCATTAGCTCGGTGTTAATAATTCCCCCAGTGCTTTTGAACCATACAATGCAGGACTGAACTTACTTGTTTGATGTGATGGCTTGGTTTCGCGAGAGGGTAGGAGTGTGTGTGTGTGTGTGTG